AACATGAAGGGTATGTCTAGACTACAGGGTTTTGTTGACAAAAGTGGACTTTTGTCGACAGAACTATACCTGCGTCTACACTGCCGCTGAGTTCTGTCGACATAACATCGACAGAATTCAGCAGTTTTGTCGACGGCTGAAAACCTCATTCTACGAGGAATAACGCGTTCTGTCGACAGCTACCATGTCGACAAAGCAGCTTGCTTTGTCGACAGAACTCAATGTAGTCTAGACGCTCTTTGTCGACAGAAGCTTTGTTGACAGTATCTATCGACAAAACTTCTGTTGACAAAAGCCTGTAGTCTAGACGTACCCATACTGATCAGAGGCACCCTACAAGTTACTAGTGGGTGCTATTTTTCCATTGCAATCATTCAGTCTATGAACCAGACCCTAAGAGGGTATGATTTTTATTCACCCTTTTCTTAAACAACTTTTTTCTCACACATGCATCTCTGCTGATCTTTTGCAACTTTTATGGGCTGAAAATTTTGCAACCTTTATTGGCTAACCTACACTGAAAATTGACCTAACTTACACCGGCATACAATCACGAAGTTAATCACTTGTGTGTGTGTTTATGCTTTGGTCTTTGTATTGGCAGGACACAGCCTCTGCAGGAATTCTTGTTTTGATTGTACATTGCATGGAGCACTGTTGGATGGCTCTGAAAACCAGCAGCAATGTAAACAACAGTGTCTAGACTGATGGATGCTACATTAGACAATTATATAGACCTTGACTGTATGGCACTTCCATAGATGGAACTCTTAAGTCAAGGTAGCATGACAGTTATGTCAGTGGGAATGAAATGTAGGTGTAGACATTTCCAGTTAGGTTGACGTACACTGCCTTACATTAGTTTAACAGTAGTGTAGATAAGATCTAAATCTTCAGATTCTACTTTGTAGACATATAGGCCAGTGAGTATCTCTTTTTTAGAGACTGACAGTTCTCCATGGATATACCATTTCAGAACAGGAAAACAGTTTACATATCTTCGTCGGGACCACACTTACACAGGAAGGAACCTCACTCACCTACTTTCGTATCAACCCTTCAATTTTCATAAAATCATAGAACTGGAAGGAACCTCAAGAAGTTCTGGCAGCATAATTCCTTACAGTTACAGGGTCCCATCCCAGTTACAATACTGAAATTATGATGTAGTGCTAATAGAATTAACAGGGACAGTGGGATGCTTGTCTTCACTTAGACAGCGGTGGGTAAGATACGGCCCACCAAGCCTTTTATTGTGGCCCATGGCCCACCTTTAGGCAGGGAGCAACCCCACGCTCCCTACCCAAGGTCACAACCCACTTCTTCACCCATACTCCCTCGCAGACCCCCCCACGCCCTCTCCTGCACCCCAATACTCTACCTTGAGTTCCCTTTTGCATCCAACCTCCATCCCATACCCACACCATCTCCATATAAAAGTGTAACTCTTGGCCATTTACCAAAATCTTGGCATGCCCCATCAAAAATTATTGCCCACCACTGAATTAGACTATGAAGCAGCTCTCCATGTTTTCATTTAGTACATGAAGGTATAGTGATTTGATTTAAAAGCACGCTGCTCCATCAGCCTTTGGATTTAAAGACAACTATAACATCAGGGTATCAGGTCATATCCTATTGATTTATTTATTGTGTCTCATGAGTGCGTATCTTGTGCTTATTTAGACTAGAATATAAAAGGTGCATTTTTAGTACACTAATATTTTAACATGAGCAGGGTTGAATTTTTTTCAGTGAAAATAATACTTTGTGGAAAAATTGAGAACATTTTTAATTCTCATATTTCAATGAATTTTCTACACAAAAATGACAAAAGTTGAATTTGTTTCAAAATGAAGGGAAAAACTTCACTCACATTTTTTTGTTTTAAAAACTTTAATCATCCCCCCCCTTCTTCCTTTTTTCATGTTAATTCTCCTTCAGAGTCAAATTCTCCCTTCCTCTAGTCCCCCATTTTCTGTCACTATAATTCCCCACCATTTCCGGGAAATGAAAGTGGACTTTTTTTTACAAAGCAAAATGGAAAAAAAAAATTCAATTTTCAAAAACTAAATGAGTATTTTTCAACATTATTTTGCAAAAGTTTACTTTTTTCTGATCTACTTTTAACTAAGCGCTTGTTTACACAGGAAGATTGATTGAAATATCTATTGCAGAATAAAACTCTCAGCGGGGTAGCTGTGTTAAGTCTGTAACTAAAAAAAACTTAAAACAACGAATGGGTCTTGCATCAACTTAGAGACTAACAAAAATACTATTGAAAGCTCAGGATACCACGTACATTTTTTGTTAATCTTTAAGGTGCTGCAGGACCATTAAGTTATTGCAGAGTAAATTAATCCACAAAAAATATTCCAGAATAGTTCTTCAGAGGGACACCACTGGAATAAAAGTGAATTTATTCCAGAATAATTATCTCCCTCTGGATCCACACAAAATTATTTCAGTGTAAAGTGGCACTTTATTCCAGAACAGAGTCCACATGGAGAGCTATTCCATCACATTCCTGTGTAAAGAAGGCTTTAGGAAGTAGACCCTCTGAAGCACACTGCCTTTTTGTTACGTATTTATATAATGCAGAGGAAAATGAGATCCTCATGTGACGGAAGCTCCTACATGCCAGCACAACACAAACAGTAAGCATTTTAACAGACATTAGCTGGTTGAAATGAACCTTACTTAGGCTCCCCTCCTACTGTTGTTCACCATTGACCATCTACCACAACTTAGTATTATCAAACATTTATAGTATGAGTAGTGTCCTGAAAGCTATAATGAGTTTGGATCTTATTTCACTAGGCACTACATAAACATAACAGCTGCTGCCCTCTTACATACAGCACAAAAGAAAAAAAAAGCAGTAAGCTCTTTTCAGGAACCGATTTAATATGAAAACTGAATTTCATAAAACTAGACAGTAATGTAATTTCAAGCAGTTTTTATTTGGAAGAAAAGATGACTAAGCCAACAGACTTCAGCAATATCTGCTTAAATAAAGGTTTTAATATTTTCATATCATAGTTCTGGTCTTGAATTGAAAAAAAAAATTATTTTGCTCTTTTCTTCCCCTGATTCATTATAGGATTCACGTACCTGAAAGACAATCTTGGCTTTAAAGTCCTATGGTCTAATTCTGCCCGTGCAGATACCTTATAGAATTGAGACCTAAACATGCCACATGACCATTTCTTTTGAAAACCAGAACAAAAGTCACCTGAACCACTAAATTTTTTCTCCCTTAACCAAAAAGTGATCTAAAGAAGTGGTTCTCAAACATTTGTATTGGTGACCCCTTTCACACAGCAAGCCTCTGAGTGCAACCCCCCCTTACAAAATAAGAACACAATTTTTTATATTAAACAGTATTCCTCACAACCTCTTCATGGGTCATGATCCCTAGTTTGAGAACCCTGAGCTAAATTAATTCTTAAGGTATTTCTCTAACTATTCACTTAGAATTGAGGAATGCTCATTTCTCTTCCTTGGCACAGGTCCTATGGCAAAGGCAGAACATTCATTTCCATATCTGAAACTCTTTGAACAGACGACTTTTATTCTCATAGTCAAATTTCTCACATTCACTATCTGAACATTTATCATCAACGTTATTCACTTAAATATGCCCATTTTTCTTTCTTTTTTGGTCATGTGCTTTGTCAAACCTTCATCGTGTTGCAGAGAGACCCAAGGCTTTATTTTTCCTTGCTTTCCTTTCACATTTCTAATTTAATTTCTGTCTAGCACAGAAGACTCGATGACTTGTGAACTAGTGAAATGCCTACCACTTCAGAAACAAGAGAATGTAAAAAACTAAGCAAAATGAGGAAAAAAAGACTCAATACCCATGTATAAATAAGATGACCCCCCCCAAAAAAACACCCCATATACCCCTTCTTAGATAACCGATAGGGTCATCTACTGAGTTGTGATATCGTAAAACACCTTTCAAACCCTCTTTATACTTCATTAAACAAAAATTGGGCACAAGATCAATTCTACATGTATCCTTTGTATGGTCCCTTTAACAACACACATTACATTCACAATTAGAGCTAGGGGACTCAGTCCTATAGACTTTAAATACACTGGACCCCTTATTTTGAAATGTGTGAAAGGCATAGCCACTTTTTGGCCGAGAAAAAAATACAGCAGCGTGCCCATCAGCACCATTAAAAGCAGGCTGAAGGTCCAGTTGCTCTACCTGGCAGAAACCTGCAAGGGTTCTGTCTACAGCTTGCATAATCTGGGGCCTATACTACCTCCACCTTCAGAAAGAATAAGTAACAATATTGGAGTCAACGCAGCAATATAACCCAAGTAATCTACTGGCAGAAACACCAGAGTTAAAGGAACTTTCATCAGGTTCTTATGTGTGTGTCAAACATTATTATATATGGTTCTATTTTAAAGCTTTATAAGGAGAAATATATTAATGAATGTACCCATCAAAATAACCTGTTACAGTGATCAGATATTGCAGTCATTTACTCATCATGAATAGTATTTTAGGCATCCAGGTTTACCAGACAATATTCAATATTAAATATATTAAAAAGATGAATGTCACAAAAGCAAGGAAATAGTTAAGGTTATAAGCTCAGTCAGCCCCCAGCTCACCCTGCTGTATTTAGTCAATGTAGCTTATTTTCCATTTCATACACTGCTATCTTATACACACTGACATGATAAAGGTGGTTAACTGCAGATTCCTTGCTTCTTCAAAGCCTCAATGTAGTATGGAAAAATTATAAAACAGAAGAAAACATGTTAAAAAGGAAGAAGGGGAAGGGACATACTGACATTTTGGGCTAACAGAACTTAGATATTAGATACACTGCACACAGACATGCAGGATGTCAAATCTTGACAGGTATTATTTTGTTGCATGCTCTATTTACCAGAATGTGATAAACATTATTCCATTTCCCAGAGCTATGGGCTATCAAAAAAAATTCCATAAATAAAAAAACCCAAACAGCTGGACATTCATTAACCTTTTTATCGACTAAAGAAGAGGACAGGGGTAAGAAAAGTGAATGTTACTAGGCAACCATATGCACATCCACATATACTATACAATTAGGACATTCAAAAATATTGACATGAAACACTTATCCTATATTTTTCCTTTTCTCTTTCAGTTATATTTTATATATATATGTATATATATATATAGTAAAACATCACGTATGAAAACACCACTATAAGCTTTCACTGTAGCCAACAGAATTTTCACACATATAAAAATGTTAAGCTTTTAAATTGTTAGATTTCTTCAAACATAATACAGCTATATTGAAATAATTTTTTACAATTGTTTCAACATTTAAACTAAAAAAAATCATCTCAGGAATTTGCACAATTCTGTCAACAAAGCCAACTCTGCAGTCTTGAACTTGTCAAACTTCACTTAAAACAAAAACTTCATCACCAAAATGAATAAAGCAAATCTTTTTTGAGACTAATAGAGTTGTGCTGCTCTGATATTATTTTGGAGCACTGCTGTACTAGGAGGTCTAGTTTAGATTTTACATTCAGTATTTTGGAGGAATGGGAGTCAGCTATCCCTTTTATAAGCTGGCTGCCCACCCAGGAAGCATCATTGTTATTACCCTATAAGAAGAATAAAGGTGCTGGTAACAACTATAAGGGGAAGGCAATAAGTGATCATTATGAAGTTCCCTGTTCTTTGGATGAACTGTGTAAAACGTTTTCTTAAAAGACTCCATGTTAAAAAGATTCAGAACAAAAAAGTCTTCTACAAAACCCAAGAGTAGCTCAGCCCCTTCTTTAAAGTTTGAAGATGGAGGGGGGAGGGTAAGTTTAGCAATAACTACTACAAGTTTGCTGTAATAAATGTTTATGATAATGCCCTATACAACACAGGGCCACACATAGTGAAAGACAAATGTAATTGCTTTAAATGTCAAGGGATGTACAGGTCTTTACTTCTGTGTAAACAGAACCGAGAAGGCTTCTGGAACCTCAATTAGAGTCCTGCCACGTCTCCATACTGTTCAGCTTTTGGGCAATGGAAATCTTGCCATGCTGCAGAGTCCACATCTGGAGGATCAGGGTCTAAAATCATCATGATTCAGTGTCTGACCCCGAGCTACTCTCCCGGCTAATTTCAATCTGTAGAGACGGCAAGTTATCTAATCGGCTTTTCTTCTGACGAGATTGTTCTTTTTCTTTTATTAAAGCACCCCATGCCCGCTGGAGCTCTGAATCGTCCTCCTCTGGAGAGGTTACTGAGTTTTCTGATTTATCTGGAGTCTTTTCTTGTGTCTTAGGTGCTGATCCTAAGCGGGTCCATAAATTACCTAAATGGATTAAAACCAACAAATTTGAAAACACAGAAATGGATAGTAATGAAAAACATTGAAAAAAAAACTAACATATGTTCAAAATGTCTTCATTTTTAACCATTTAATTTCCTAAAAACTGAACACTTGAGCTACGCAACTGTAATGTCCTCAACATTTAAAAAAAATAGAATACATTGTAAAGTGTGGATATATTCTTAAAAGTATGTGAAAATGCTGCTTTTATTCAATTCTACTATTTTATGTATCTGGATCAATCCTTGCTTATAGTAGTGCTAGTACATTTTTACTAATTTTTTACATCTGTTAGAACAGTAGAATCACACCTATTTGAGTAAGGCTTTGTCACTTTACCTACACCACAGTTTAACTGATTCAACACCACCCAGTGTCAGTTATTGAGATATAACTTATTCTCTTTCCAGTATGGGAATAGCAACAAGTATAAGGGCAGGTCTGCACTGCGGAGTTAAACTAACCAAGGTTACCAAACTCCATAGTTTAGGTTTATTTATCGTCCTGTTTACACAGCACTGGGTCGACAGAAGAAACTCTCCTGTCAATTTACCTTATGCCCCTAGTTCTGGCGCAGTACTGGAGTTGACAGGACAGTGATCTGTGGTCGATTTAGTGGCTCTTCACTAGACCAGCTAAATCGCCTCCTGGTGGATTTATCGCTACAGTGTCCATCTCCCGGTAGTGGAAATAAACCCTAAGACACCTTTATATTGCATCCACACTAGGGGCTGTAGTGATATATTTATTTTGGTTTACAAATATTAATCTCTATAAATAACACAGTTATATTGATACAAAATCAGGGTGTAGCTCAGGTCAAAGAGAGCACGGTTCAAATGCATCATCAAAAGAAGTTGTAAGTCTTCCCCTAATACTTCTCTTACATCTATGCAGACTCTATGTGGCCTATAGAAACTTTATTATTGATAATTTACAAATATGAAAGAGGACAGTACAACTCCAAGGATATGTTTTCAGGAGCTGTCACCAAGAAAGGCTTTCTTTCTGGAAACTGAGAAAATGTGACCTAGCCTTGCTAAGAAAATTACAGAGCTGTAACAAATTATTTTCATAAAGTCTCTTCTGAAAATAGAGCCACACTTTAAAGAGAATGACAATGAACATAAATACTTGTATTACAATTCACAGTAAAAATGAGTAAAGGACAGGAACGTGAACAGTTTGAAATACAATTTATTTGGTTACTATAGTTTTGCACTTTTATTAGCACATTTTATTAACCCTTAGAGTTTGAGATATCTTTAACATCTGCTCTGTTCAGACACATGTTTAACACACACACACACACACACACACACACACACACACACACACAATATCCATCAGGAAAAGTTCAACACAGAGCAGAGAATAGCATTCAGGGAAAATTTGTCTTAAAAGTTCCTTTATACTATATTTTGAGAGTAAAGTAGAAATTAAATGCAATACATTCTATAATAACCATCATTCCAAGACCAGATTTTGAAAGACACTTCAGTCAAATTCTGCCCTCAGAAATGTGCAAGTTCCATTATATTTTATTGAAATTGCACATATTATTCAAGGCAGATTTGGCACCTGTGATGTTCAATAACCTTTGATGTAGTGGTTTACAATTTCAAAATATTCCACAAACAGTCACAATGTCATTTCTAACTCCAGTTGACAATATTATTTCTCCTGTATTTCATTAAGACAACATTTGTAATCTCTATTACAAAATCTGATGTAGCTATTACAAGTTATTCACATGAGAATTTTGTAATAAAGCTCATAAAATACAATATCTATGCAAGATTATAAAGTCTAGAATTTTACCCATGTGAATGGCAAAGCTTTAATGGTTAGGAATATTGTTTTTAACTTAATATCCTTCATTTTATTGCTAGTCAAATGCCACTAGCAGCATGAAGATATCATCATCTGCAGTTATAAGCTACACATGCACATCTCAAGTAAAGGTCACACTTTCTCTCTGTAAAACAAACCTGTTTTTTTCTCTCTGGTGTCAGAGTAGAGGCCTTTCACATCTTGTTTGGGTATCCCTAATCGGCTATGTACATCTGATACTGGTTCTCGGCGAGGGGTGGAGACGCTACTTGGGGGCTTGACTTCTGGAGAATGTGGTCTCTTTCCTAGTCTCTGCCGTACATCTGGAAATAACATGCCACAGTGAGTAAACTCAATTTACTGCTTTTATTTTAACTCTTTTGGCTATGTCCTTTGCAAAATTTGGAATTAGAGAGGTTATATATGGTTGTTTTTTCTGAAGTCTTCCTGTTAAATCTTAATATAGCTCACTGTCTTTGAAATGCTCTGAATTCCTTTATTATTGTTTATCCATGCTTGAATTATTTCTATGACAGATGTCACATGGCATCTTTGCAAGGCATCTCTTTTGGAATAATGACTCTCAAAGCTGGGCTTTGTCCCAAAGATTTAAAAAGTAGTAGCTGTTCACAGATTGCCAAAAGCCATCTTTGTTTCGGATTACATTTCTATTTTAGGAATATAAACATCAACGCAGAGAAAATAGTTTCTGTCCAGTGAGAGACTATTTATATGAAAAGTATGACTCCTTCATTTATTAGATTTTAGAACACATTAAAAAAATCACTTTAAAATTAGAGTCCTGTGTCTTCACCTGAGGGCAGTGGTTCTCAACTCTTTTCAGTCCACGGACCACCAGGCCAATCAAAAAATGTTCGTGAATCACCTCCAGCACATGTAGCACAGGACGAACGACACAGTAACCATTAAGCATGACGGCGGCAGCTACATTGACATTCAGAGCCTCACACGGAAGTTACTGGCAACACAACGTGGTTGCAGCCTAGGTGACTCTATGGATGATGCGCTGCATGCTTGTGAACACAGCATAAAACAGCCTAACAGCAGCACCTGCTCACGCTGTGTGACTTTGGACAATGTTCCTTTGGACCACCGAAAAAGTCACCATGGACCACCAGTTGAGAACCACAGCCTTAGAGGAAAAATGAAAATCAGAGCAAAAGAATCTTATTGTAAAGATTTTTATCTTGTGACAAACCATGCCAGACAGAAAACTTTAAGATCTGAATCCTGCTTCTGCACTAGGACTTAGGCAAAGACACGAAAGCGCACAGAACAGGAAGAGAGATGTAGCTGTCAAACTGAAGGGCATGAAAGATTAGAGAAAGGTATTAAACTTAATACATTTTATACAGGTTGAACCTCTCTCAACCAGGACTCCCTGGTCCAGCAACATCCTACTGGATGCTGGGCCAGAGAGTCCTGGGGAAGGACCGAGGCAGGAGCCATGCGGGGGCTGCGAATCCAGCCAGGGTGGCTGCAGGGGGCCCAGCAGCCAGGAACCCTGCCACGGGAGTCCGGCTGAACCAGCGGAAGGGCTGCCGGAATGCCAGCAGGCTGGGTCTGCTGTGGCAGGGTTAGGAGCCCTGGTGGCAGGCGGTCAGGCAGGAGCCCCGGTGGTGGGATTGCAGGCTGCTGCAGCAAGGCTAGTGCGGCCAACAGCCCTGGTGGCAGGGCCGGTGCTGTTACGGTAGGGCTAGCAAAGCTGGAAGCATGGATGGCAGGGCAGTGGTCTGCTGTGGGACAGTTGGGAGCTCCAGAGGTGGGACCGTGGGCTGCTATGGCGTGTGGCGGGGCTGGTGGCAGATGGTGAGATGGCCGGGAGGCGAGGCTGGGAGCAGAGCCAACCTGGGGGGCTGGCGGCAAGGGAGTCAGAAATGACCCTCCCTGCTCCAGCAACATCCCTTGTTCGGGACCACTCGGGAAGTACAACCTGTCTAAAGAAAGTATCCCTTCCAAGTGATGAAGAGCAGCTTCTAGGCACTACACACATAAGAGGAGAGTTGAACACTAAATTCATCTCTCCATCCAGTTATTCATTTTTCCCTATAGCAAGCCCCAGCTTTATCTCTAATTTTCTTATGCTCCTCACACTCAACATTAATCTGCCCTGTACATAAGGAAGCAGTTCATCCATCAGATTAAAAAAGGTAGGCATTATACATTTATCTCCATAAGCTCCTCATATCTGAATGCAAGCCACCTACAATTTAACTAATACATGAATTGCCAAAAGTCTGGTAACATAAGATTTTGTGTATTAGTTATGAGGTTTGAAAAACTTGAAAGAATATTGAACTGCATATATGCAGAAATAACATTTGAACATAATTCCTACAGGTTTATAAATTGCAGTACTGAACATGCCCATTTGAAACATCCACCGTATGTTACAAGAGTTTTGCATTACCTGATTTTGTAGTGCTGACTGGCTGACGCTGCCCTGTATTATTCTGACGTTTTTCCTCTAACAGCAGTCTTATATCAGCAACTTTTTCTGAAGATCCTTTGCTGCCAATTCGATTTTTGACATTACTGGATGCAACACTATCTGCTCTCATAGAGTTCCTAAATAAAGACACACACAATGTATTTTTAATTAGCAAATAAACTCCCATGAGTGAAGCCCAAGAGAATCCTCAGGAAGTCCTCTTGTGCATAAACACATTTTGAAAATTAGCAATATCAGGATTTCCCCTATTAAGAAAAGTGGGAGAAAACACAAAACTTATTACTTAAAAAAAAAAATCTTCATTCCAGAATCAGTCTTAGTTCTTCTTCAAACAAATTATGAATATATTCTGAACATTGTATGCTGCATTTCCTGTATCCAAGATGTCTTAGAAGCCCATAACAAATAGGAAGAAATGTTTTTCCCAGTTTTAAACCAAGATATGCTTATATCTTGTCAAAACAACAACATAGTGCTTTTCGAAGTTTAGGTTCAAGTTTAGGTTTGTTAGTCAAGACAATAAGCAATGTATACAGGGTTTGCTTACCTGTTAGGGACAGTGCAATTAAGGGATACATTTGTAAGTTATGATAGTACAGAACGTGCAACCCTTTTGCTAAAGAGCAAATGTCTTGTCTTTAAAGAGATTTGCTATAATTCTAGAAGTAAATGCCATCAGAACTATTCTGACAGTATTCTGACCACTATGAGGTACTCTGAAATCTAAAAATAGTGATGTGAACAAGCTCGATTAATATTTGTTTCAAACAGAACTGTCAACAAAGCAGTTCCACTGCGGTCGAAAGTAATTCAGAATCAATGAACAATCTCAGAACTACTACTACTATGATTTAATTCACATTATAATGGTTCCATCATTTTCTATCATATTACTGAGGAATAGGGATGTAAAATCCTGTTTAACTAGTTAACCGGTTAAACATAGTGTTTAATCAGTTAACCGATTAAAGGAGGGGCAGGGGGGGGGCTTTCAGTGGGTGGAGGAAACAGTGCTCCAGCCTGGGGAATGATGGATGGGGGGGGGACAGGCGGGAAGCTGGCAGCCCCACGCTGGAGCCTAGCAAAGCTGGAATAGCACTCCGCTTGAGGCAGGCTCCTGGGCATCAGTTAACCATTACCAAGTAAGGATCACCCAGTAAGGATGATGCTTACCTGATCACATCCCTACTGAGGAGGCATGCAGCTTTGTATTAGATTATTAATGCTGAAAATCTTAAAACCTATGTCATTTTTTACCATTAAAGATTTGCTGTTTGTGATTGATATAACTTTTTTGCAGATTTATCCTAGATTTAGCAATGAAAGTACACTAATCAGTTTGCTTTATTTTAATCAGGTTTTCATTAACACAAACCTGCAATGTTAGATTGCAAAGGAATATTTATGTAATAATTTTATGTTTGATGTAAGGGTCAATTTCAGTAAGTTTTCTGCATTTTCTTCTTTTAAATATCTTTCACTAAATCAGACCTAAAGAGGATACGATAATACTTGCCACTTCATTTAAGCCACTACAGTTCTGCCATTGAAATGACAAGTGATTTACTGTAACAAAAAAGTCAAATGGGATAAGATTTCAAGGACAGTAGTTTTTACTCGCTGCTAAGGATTTTCAGCTTTAACGATACTACATATGTCATGCTTTAGTGGCTGTTTCTGAAATGTTCCATATTATATCAAGCCAAAGCTACATATTGCAATGGTTAAGATTTTCATGTAAACTGTAGAGTCACTTCTCTTAAACACAAGGCGTTAATACTGTTAATAGCACAGAAAAGCATGCAGTTAAAATCATGCTTCTTACCTGCATGTGGCCCCTGACTTTCTCCTTTGGGTCAGTGACCCCCAACCCAAAAAGATTCCCTGCCGCTAATTTTAAAACATTGCTTTTGGATGGGGCTGGTGATGAGGGATTGCAGGCTGCTCTGGGGGGGGAGAGGAACACTGCAGCAGCTTGGGGCCAGGTGTGAAGCACCTCTTGGTGGCCACTGCAGTTCCAGTGGGCACAGCTAGGGGAGGGGTGCATGTCCCATGTCTGGGGCAGGTCCAGGTTTGTCTGCCCCCTGCACTCTCCAGCCAGAGTGGTGAATACAACGAACTGTGCACTTCCCTCTTGCTCCCTGATGAAGGGGAACAGCCAGCAATGTTCATGTACAAATTGTTCAGGACGGTGGGGGAGGGAGCTTCAGCCCCCCCACATGGGGGGCGG